GTATAGTTCACCTGAGTTTGGCTTGTTGTGAGATCGTTAAAAATTATCCACAGAAGCCACCAATTCAAAAGGCTGTGCACTAAAATTACACTGAAAGAATGTTTTTTTGTTTGTTTGTTTGTTTTAGATGTATATGACTGTGATCTCAGTTTATTCTGTGTTTTCAACTTGATATAAGATGGCTTTGTTCTGAAGAGCCACAGCTTCCTCTGGAACAGAACAATGCATCTTAGAAATTTACACTCCATCAAATCCCTGAATATTGTCAAACCTGCAAAACCAGATAATAACCAAAAAGTAACTACAATTTATTTTTTTAAATGACCCAGCTGAAGAGGCTCCTCTCTGGTGTACTGTATCATGATTACCTGCAACAATTAATGAACTGGGGTGATGTTTTCGGCTTGAGCTATAAAAGGATTAGGCAGCCAAAAATACAGTTGCACCTCCTGGGGACGCATTGGGGATCCCTTTCCCTCTGGGTGGGTAGGGCAGAGACACCAGATCCTAATCTGAGGAGGATATCACTTATCTGGAGACAAACAGTACAGATTAGGAGAGGAGACAGAAGATGCACTGGGGATAGCATGTGGGAGGGCTCTAACACAATTACACGCAAGCACCAAATCCCCTCTCTGATACCTCAGAGGAATGCAGTGCAATAAATAGTAAACAGAGACCAAAGCTGGGCCATTTCCTTCCTGTCAGACTGCACCCGGCTACACCAAAGTTTAGCAGGAGAATGAAGAAACACTGTAATGTGTTAACTACAAACCGGTCACCTCCATCTACACTGCTGTGTTCTTTAAAACAACATTCAGTAAGCTGATGCTTTGACTCAGACTGACAGTATCAGCAGTCTTACAGAGTTGTGACCAGATCACCAAGTCAATAGATTGTCTTGATTCTTGTCTTTAATTTGCTTTGAAATTATACACACACTTGTACATTGGTTAGCCCCTTGGCATTCACTGAAATATATAATGTGTCAACTATTCAGACAAGCTCATGATTAGCATAAAACCTAAACACGGTGCCTTATGACGTATATCAAAATAACCCCATCCGCAGAAAATTTTTGAGGCAAAAATAAACACTTTAATCCAATTTCTTCATTCAAACAAACCACCTTATTTATAGGGATCACAGTGGCCTAGCAGGCTTAAAATTGTTGTAGAGGGCTCATTGATTCCCTTCATGTCTCATGATTCATTCATGGCTCTTCTTGTCTTTTGTAGAGTTCATAAATGAGTCACCAATAATGTACAGTCAAACCACACAGCCTACATTGGAAATCTGACAGCTGAAAGACAAATGAAAGATGAAAGTCAACATCCCAATGAGATCTTCTCCTGCATTTTCATCATGCCAAAATGAAGATATCATGAAGACATCATATGAGTGACCTTGTCAGATAATAAAGAAATTATCTTCTATCGTTTCATTGTGTGCTTTTGCCAATGTGGTTTGAATATGTGTTGACCCCTACACTCCAGTTAGATTGACATTATATGCATGCTGGTCCACATCGCACGAGACAGTTCAATGGGAAATGAGCTGCAGCAGCTGTCTGTGTGCCAGCTGCAATGTGTTTGATCCCATGTGCTGGAAGTGCTGGCATTAGTCTCCCTGCCACCCCCACTGCACGTCCCACTCTGTGTGCTGATGCCTTCCATGGCTAATACTACAGGGCACTGATTAACTGCAAGGCATCTCTCAGCTGAATCTGCTTCTTCACACTGACTTGATTCATAATTAGCTTCGAGTTTGCTTCCTTTATGTGGAACAATGATTTACATAAACATTCATTTATCTAATGAGGTAAAAAATAATTTTAAAAGGCCTCAAATGCACATTGCAGTAGTTAATTTTATAAAATGGATGTGCTCATTTGTATCACCCAGTGGCAGGCCGTGCATTTGGTACCTGGGCCTTCAGTGGGGACTTACCTGACTTAATTCACCTCTTAATACCACCACTATCATGCCGCAATTATAGAAACCATCAATGCTATACAAAAACGCAATGTAACAAAGTGTGGCATTACAGAGAATTTCGCGTATTGAGGGTGAATGCCATTTTTACTAAAACAACAACCCCAGTTAAGACAACTCCAAAGCTCTACACTACAACCACAACTGCGCCAGGTTCATCATCCGGAGCAGTTCAGAATCCATATTTATCTAATAACATGACAAAAACATACAAAACTTAAATTAAATACATCATACTCACCAAAGATGCTATTTATTTATAGACAAAATCCATCCTCATGGAGGTGATCTCTGCGTTTCAGTTCCATCATAAATCCTTTTCTAGTTTTGCTCTGACCAACCAATCAGAGGACGGAAAAACGCTGATGTTATTGTAGGCCAGCTAGCTGGCCCTGTGAGGCGAATTAGAAATCTGATTAGTTAAAGAAACAGTCCCATTGCTAATATAGTTTAAGTTACATGGACCAGCACTTCTGATTCTGAAGGCCCTGGGCAGATTAGATTGACATGGCAACACATAGAGGCTGAAATCTGATTGGACAAAAAAAAAAAATCTAACATCCACATACACCTACTGGAAGTGGTGCAGCCAAGAGCAATGCTACGAAATGAAGAGAATAGACTGTTGGGAATAAATTAATACAATTTCATAGAATTTCATAAATATTAGAATTTAGGTTGTAAATGTAGGTCACTGCTTCTGATAGTGTTTAGGCCAGCAGAGAAGGCCTTGCTGACCCTGACAGCCCACCACTGGTATCACCAAATGTTAGCAATTTATACATTAGTTTGTGATGTTCATCATCCAGTAATTCATGCTTTAATACTGACAGGTAATAACTAATACTTGGCCAAATGAAGTGATTATCATAATTATTCTGATAACTGGTATCTCATTTACATTCAAACAGCTTTGATAAATATAGTCACCTACCTAACTTCTAGAAGCTCCAATGTGACAATTCTCATGCTGCAGATTTCTATTAGTTGTGTGGATGTTGAATCAGTTGCTTTATGATGTGGTAGAGGATGTTGCAAACAAAGTAGCCTACTATACTGTGACCACTATTGTTTTTTACCACACACAAAAAAAATTAGATTATATAGAAGCATTCATCAAAAACTGGAGACCTTATCTCCAACTTATCAATTGTCTTTTTGATGTTATTGTATGGATGCTGATTCAGGCACGCTTCTCTTCAGAACTTTTGTAAACTTCATACTTTTGAAATATTTAGCTTTATTTTGAAAATCTTGCCCAATTCAAATGAATTGGAAAATTCTACTTCAGCATACTTTCAGCTATTTCAGGTATCAAAATGTTCAGCTCTTCAAGGACATTCATGCCTCTCATCAGAATTTTTTTAAACTTCATACTTTTGAAATATTTAGCATTATTTTGAAAGTTTTGCCCCATTCAAATGAATGGGGGAAATTTTTATTTCTGCATGCTTTCAGCTATTTCAGATATCAAAACGTTCAGCTCTTCAAGGACATTCATGCTTCTCTTCAGAAGTTTTCTAAACTTCATACTTTTAAAATATTTAGCTTTATTTTGAAAATCTCACCCCATGCAAATGAATGGGGAAATTTCTACTTCAGCATACCTTCAGCTATTTAAACGTTCAGCTCTTCAAGGACATTCATGCTTCTCTTCAGACGTTTTCTAAATTCATACATTTGAAATATTTAGCTTTATTTTGAAAATCTTGCCCCATTCAAATGAATGGGAAAATTCTACTTCAGCATAAAATTTAAACCTAAAATAAAGTTATTAAAATCTGGGCATTGACGATTTAGAAAACAGCACAACTGCACTTATCAAGACGGGCTTACAACATGTCACAGCACAACTTCATGTGTATGAAGAATCACTCAGTCTAACCACTAAGCCTGCTCAGGGTCTTCACCATTTAACAATGGAAAAATGACCTAGCTTTGTGCAACTCTGCGGTAACGTGCCAAAATTCAGACAAAGTCTTCAAATAGTCAGGGAACACTCCGGCAACTTAAAAAAAAAAAAAAGTCAAGTGTGGAACACCACCATAGTCAATTTAGAAATAGGAGAGGAAAAAGATCTAGTCACCACAGGCATGGCCCTGAAATGAGGTGTGTTCACTGAGAACAAGAAATGCAGGTTTGTTTGTCCAAAAAGGTAAGGCTTTAAGCTGTAAGATGTAAGCTTAAAGATACAAAGTGCTGTTTATGTTTTAAATCATGTAAAAAGCCCAGTTTATTTAATCTAATGTTTAACTTGACAAAATATCATGCATGCCATGTATTCTAACAGATTGTCTAGGGGCTGAATGAGCACTAGAGAAAGCCAGTGCCCCAAACAGTGGTACAGACAATTAATCTAATGTGTCAGAGTATAAAGTGAGCACAGAGTAACAGGCAGCCTCAGGCCGAAACCAGGCACAGTTTACCCAGTAACCAAAGCAGTGCAGGACTTTTAAAATGCCTGACTGATACACTGAGTCCAGAAGAAAGGTTCATTCAGCTGCTGCCGCCGCCATCTCATCCCGGGTGATGACCCAAATGATTCCAAATCTACAGACCACATGTCATAAAGCAGGAAACAAATTCATTGTAACAGACAGAGATCCACTTCCTCCTTTAGTATTAAAAAAGGAGACATTTATTTTGATTTTTTTTTTTCTCTCTCTAGTGTCAGGATACAAAGAATTAGACCTCACAATTAAAAATACTCAATATACCACAACATGGGGGACAGTGAATGACAGACACACAAGCATACTTTAAAATTATACATTTTAAGTTTTACAAATAATTAAGTGCCTATAAAATTCTAATTTGATAGTAATTTTAACATTGTTAAAACTTTCATGCCAATAAAACCCCTTTGAACTGAATTAGATTATTGAATTTTACTTAAATTACCAAATTTAAAAATTGTATTAAGCAATTCTTAAAACTGAGCATTAAAGAACAGAGAATTAACAGTTTGTTGCCATTGAACTGACCACAACATCATGATGTAGGCCAACCTCAGCCACCCACTGTGGGCTCCTGCTTTCTACTCAGCCAGTTCGCTTAGGGCCCACAATGTTCACATCAAAAACATTTTCTCCTGAAAACTAACATTAGGCCTGTGAACCATCTTGTCTGACCGTCTACTTGCTGAAACACACGAACTTTCCGATAAATATAAAGACAGGACACGGTTTACTGAAGTTAGCCTACAACAAAGCCAACTTCCATGCCATCACTCACCTTTTTGGATTAGAGTCCTTGTGAATCCAGCGGCGTATGGTTGGTTACGCATGAAGCCGATAAACTGTGACATTCAGTGCCACATTGCAGCCAGGCTGCCACAAACACAGATAAATGTGCGTGTTTCGACATCTGTAGCAGGAGGAGGCAACATTTTATGAGTCCAATGACACAATGAAACAAACAGTTCTTCTTAAAGAAAAGTTCTGGGACTTACCGAACACTTCAAGCTCCGTTTTCCTGTACGTACAACGAAAATGTTTGGCAACGTCCTGGCGCCAAACCAAGGTATTCGATTAAACACCGGGGCACAACCTTAATATCAAGTGTGATTTTATGGGTTTTATTTAATCCAGTCATAAATCTACACAGTCTAGATCAAGAAATGAATTTTTAAAGTCTCTCTGCTGAGCTTCTAGTTCATAATCTAAAGCTGTGGGCTGCTGGGAGGAGACGGTGTCCACATGGTCTGACAACAAACAGGCAGCTGTTCATTTTGTGTTTACAGACGCAGTAGGTGGATTTTGTTTCGTCTGGGCAAAGCCAGGTTATTGGTTTTCTCGTTACCAGTGTCTACGCTAAGCAGTGTTGCCAACTTGGTGACTTACTTGCTAAATCTGGCGACTTTCCAAATCCTCTTGGCGACTTTTTTGTCAAAAGCGACTAACGACAAATCTAGCGACTTTTTCTGGTGTTACTGGAGACTTTTCTGGTGTTTTGGAGACTAACGTGAAAGCACGTATCACTGCATTTACTGTCCCCAAAGAGCATCGTGAGGCCCTCCCCCCCGTCCCAAAACTCTCACAGTAGCCTCGAGCAGCAGTCAGAGCACAGAGGAGACCCACACTGCCCCGCGTCCAGACTGCTAATGAATCGCGCATGCGCAAAGCCGCCGCTGAGCCCGGATAAAGGAGGAGGGTGAATTGACTAAATGTGATATTCTAGCATTTACCAATAGAGGACAAAATTGATTTATGTAATGTGGGTCTAGACAAAGCATTAAAGTCATGAAGTTATTTTGAGAAGTGACGGCCTATTTCAATGGCAAAATATAAAACAAGCAAACCAAGAATCAACCGAAGAAAGTTCATTTGTAGTACTAAACATATTTAGGATGTTTTTACTCATCTTTTGTCTCTCCCATGACGTTATTACTCTCTCTTACAGCGTCCATTACAATTACATGCAAATGGAATTTTATGCGAATTAGGCGATGGCGTCATTTAGCGACTTCTAGCGACTTTTGGGACAGCCAATAGCTACTTTCTTTACTGAGGAGTTGGCAACACTGACGCTAAGCTAACATGCTGCAAGCTCAAACTACAGATGTCTTTTCATCCACCTCATAGCAGGAACATGAATATGTATTCTCAAAAGTTCAAGCTATTTTTGTCTTTTTCACTCATGAAAGAGTCTGTAAACTTCTGTTAATCAAATTCAGAACCTGTTTAGATTAGTTTCTCACAAAGGCCAAATAAATATTGCTTCTATACAAACACAAACAGCACTAGTCATTCACTTTCTCCTCTCAGACCCTCTGTGGGAATTTCATCTGGCAACTTTCCAGTGGATACAATCAGGGATACAACATCAGTGCTGAAGATGCAAAGAGAGATCAAGATTCCACAGGATGTTTCAGAGTCACGAAGCGAGTGACTGTCCCGGCTGCTACAGAGAGGTTTCATTTTAATTCAATGCTCAATTAAGTTTTAAATTCGACAAGAAGATCTATGAATGAAAACTTAAGATGTCTTTTCATCACAGGGTGACCTGCAGAGTTCACCAGCCTCAGATAAACGAGACCAGGGACACAGAGATTTACATTCCAGGTACACTGGAGCTTTAACAGTTCACCTGTATGCTTTAACCCTTACTGTACAGAGCAGGCAGTAGTCCATATGCTATGATCTGTATCTGGATTAAAAACTCAAACTTGTTTTAGCACTGTTCTTGTTTTTATTATTAGCATATGGTCATTTTTGTCCAGTTTGACCCTAGTTGTGTTTATCAGAATCAGATGAGAAAACAAGGTTTCAAATATCTTTAAGAAATGAGTTGGTGAAGCACTGAAGATTTTACATCTTACTTCAGGAATTTGTAGGTAAATACTGAAAGTGTACTGGCCAAGATAATTCAAGCATTTAGTATTTGACTGTCAGACAGATGTGATTGATTTCCCCATTTTTCTTCTCAACTTTTTCCTATTTCATTCTCAGAATCTGGCCTTTTTGTTATAGGTGGATTTATGGAGGAGACTCCAGTGATGTGTACAGTGACTGTTGTTAACAGTAATGACTGCTGTAAATGTCTTAGTTTGGTTAAACTGAACTGAAAAGGCAGACAGCTTGGCAAAAAGTAGCTCCAAATAATGTTGAAATT